TGGGAGATTGTGCCAACGAGCAGAGCATTATAGTGGGGCAAGAGTGATCGAACCTGGGCAGGAACAGACAAGCACAGAGGTGCTTTGTATTGTGTGCTGCACCACACGACTGAAAGATACTCCAACATGCTTAAGAATGATGTTTCAATTTAGTGGTTTGTTAATGTGATTAAAGGGATTATATCGCTCACCTGCATTTGATGAGACATCACTTAACATTTGTTGCTTTGTCCCCTTTCCCCCGCAATGTTCTGCAACCTGAGGCTGATATATTTTCCACTGACAGAAATCAATTTTTTTTTTAACGGTCACTATATAAATGCAAGTTACTTCTGCTGCTGCTGTTGTTGTTGTTGTGCGGTCAAAGGCGAGCAAGGACAGGAGGAGGAGTTTCTAAAAGGTGCGCTTATAGTAAGAGTGGCTCACCAATAAGCATCCGCATTACAGAGTGAAGCAAGACAAAACGGCCGACTTCCAACTTGTCAAGGCCGCGCTCTTGCACTTCCTGCGCACGTCACACTTCTTGCGCGCGTCACACTACCTGCGCACGTCACACTACCTGCGCACGTCACACTACCTGCGCACGTCACACTACCTGCGCACGTCACACTACCTGCGCACGTCACACTACCTGCGCGCGTCACACTTCCTGCGCACGTCACACTACCTGCGCACGTCACACTACCTGCGCACGTCACACTACCTGCGCACGTCACACTACCTGCGCGCGTCACACTTCCTGCGCGCGTCACACTACCTGCGCACGTCACACTTCCTGCGCACGTCACACTACCTGCCCATGTCGCATCTGGTTCCTTGAAAAGTTAAGGCTTCAAAAGCTAAGACTGAATTCGAACAATTTGCTGTACTGGCAATATACCGAGTAGTAAACTTACGGAACAGGCTCCCTCGGGAGACGGTGGAAGCAGAAAATGTCATTTGTTTCAAGCGCAAATTAGATAGATTTCTGCTGGAAAATAATATCTCGGGATACAGTATATAGTTTGGGACATGGATGTCAAGCGATTGCCAAAATGGTGGAAGGCGAACTAGATGGACCTTGGTTTTCTTTCGTCCAACAAACTTTGCGTTCTTATTGTGGACTCTCTAAAAAAATCACCATAGGAATAGGAGCTGAAATCCGAAGAGGTTTTGCCCCCAGTTTTCTGAGGAATAACCTCCAATCTTCTGCAAGCTGAGGCTGACAGATGAGCACAGCTCAGTCAGGCTGTGTTCCTTTCGTGGAAGGTGTTACCATGGACTCTATCTGAACCACATCATCTCCTGGGAAAAGTTTCCTACTCGGCCCCAAAGGTAAAATCTCCAGCCTCTCTCTCCACCATCCACATCCTCTGTTATTTATCCTTGACCAGGTGTTTTCCTGAACATATTTCCACGACTCCAGCAATCCAACCTTCTCCATTGGGATCACCGCGACATTTGATTTTTTTTAAAACCGAGGTTTGATGAAAACTTTTCCCCCCGTGCAGGTGCCTTCAGAATCCATCCACACTTTCTCGAGCGTAAAGTGCGCTTATTACAGTCAAAAATGCCCGTGGGTTTTGACCATTGATGCTGAGAAGATATCTCCAACCGAGATAATAATCCTTGCATTCGTTTTAGAGTCTTATCACGTCTTCGAGACGCCTCAAAGCGCTTCACAGGATATACCGTAAGGTGAATTGACTGTATGTTTTGTGGGCGAAATGCGGCAGCCAACAGCGCACAGCAGCGTCCCCCACAAACAGACATGGATTGAGTGACCAAATTATTATCATAGATAAGCGCACATTATTGAATCCTCTACATTTAGCGCTAAACATCTCGCTCTGCCTCTCAGTGTTTTGAAGACATCTGCCCTCAATCTTTCCCATTAATAATGAAGGCTGACTAGGGACACTCAATGCCTTATGAATTTCAGATTGACTTGCAAATTGGATGGAAGCTTTGCTAGAACACACTGACCAAACCAGAACGGAACTGAGCCAAAGTATCACAGGAATTGCCAGTCAGTTCCCTGGAAGGACGTCTGTGGCAATGTCAGAATTTCACAATATTAATAATAATAATAATAATAATCACACATAATCTCTATTGAATGGTTCACCTCCTTCGACAGCATCGATAACGATTCGAACGTTAAAAAAACACACCCCCCACAAGTTCACGACTAACCTTTCGCGACGCGGAAACTTTTTTCAAAGCAGCACAAGTAGCTGTGCGATCAGCGATTTGATTTACCGATTTGATTTACACAGAGCGCGGAGGTGTTCAAAAACACCACCAGCCAAGACTCAAGACAACAACAAAAAAACAGGAGCTGCTCAAACATTTCAGCAGTCGTGTACGCATTGCGTTTCTACTGTTCAAAGTGAGCAAGTTCACAAAATGTTCCTGTGATCATCTTCCCTTTCGTGTCGCTACTGCACTGGGAGAGTACGGTGGTTCTGCCTCACGGGGGGACTCTAAGCAGATGCTTTGGGCAGATTCATTTTGTGCGCAATGCTGTATAAACGGCCGCAGATCTGTGCGTTGTTCGGTGACACTTCACGGCAGTCACGTATCACCTTCAAAGCCCTCTATGGCTTCGCTCCTCCCTAACTCTGTGACCTCCTAACCCATTAGCAACCTGTCCGCTCCCTCCGCTCAGTGGGCTCCGGCCTGCTTCACATCCCCCGCCTTGACCCGCTCCACCATTGGCGGGTGGGCCATCAGCTTCTCTGCCCCTACCCTCTGGCTCGCTCTGGAAGACCATTCTGTTTAGTCCCGAGCTGCTGTCCTTTCCATACTCGCCTTTATGTGCCCAGAACCCAAAGATCTGTCTTTTTCTTGGCAGTAAAATGGCAATTGCGTACAACTGAGTGTTCAGCAGACGCGAGAACACAAAAATGCAGTCACTACGCATTACACCGAATGTCCTGTGAAGCGCTTTGAGGCATCTTCCCGGCGTGAAAAACGAGACATCAAATGCAAGGAACGTTATTATAATGTAGCGTAAAATAACTCGAGCCGACCGAACAAAATCTTTCGACTCAACTCAGCGAGTTCAAAGATTCTGGTGACAGCTGGAAATAAATCACGGCTGATCTGTACCTCAAGTCCCATTACCCTTCCTTGCCCCGAAATAATCGTGGCATTGCTGTACGCAAATCGATACAGCGCCTTATCGCGTCGTCGAGACGTCTCAAAGGGCTTCACAGGATTTGACTGTGACGTGCTGTGGCTGTGTATTTGTGGGCAAACCTGAAGGTTTCCTTTAAAATGATTCCCGCGAATTCTCACTCATCCAGGCAACTGGATTCCAGCTACGCACGGATCCTAAGGCAATGTGTTAGTTCATTGCTTGGTGCTTTTATCGATTCCCCTCTGAATATAAATGTTTCCTGCCGCTGTTATTAAATTACTGGTTCGCAAATCGCTCTTGTCCTGACAGGGAACATTGTCGCAGGCTATGCTTCACAGCGCAGTATGGGTCAGTAAGTCGGCAGTCGAGGCTGACACTCCAATGCAGTGATGGGGTTGCTCTGCATTGTCAGAGGCGCCGTCCTTTGGATAAGACAATAAACCCAGGTCCCGCTGCCTGTTAAGGTGGACATCAACGATCCCGTGGCACTCTATAAAGAGAGAAGGGAGCTTCTCTCCCGGTGTCGTGCCCAACAGTAAGCGAGAGGAACGAGGGGAGAAGTGAACCTGGATTATGCCACCAGCAGTCAGATTTATTTTAGCTTCTGAGTTAGGAAGAAAAAAACAACACACGCGAAAAAAAAAGGGAATTCTAAAAAGAATGCTTCCTACTTCTAATTGCGGGAAATTGGTAGATGGGAGGCGAGGAGTGGGGGGTGGGGGGAGCGGGGGCGAGCGCGGGGGAATGAATTACATTACAAAGTCAGGAAATTAGAGAGAGAGAGAGAGAGAGAGAGAGGAGAGAAAGTTTCCGAGCCAGGAGAAGGGCAAGAGATCCAAGAAAAACAGAACCACAAATCGACAGCGCGGACCTTAGCCGAGCCTGGCAGAGCTCGCTGGGGGGAAGGACCCGGGAAGTGAGAGCTGCAACCAGAGACATGAAAGGCAGGGCCAGGGGACATCAAAGCGGAGAGCCGGTTAATCCAGCCGGAGTGGGAGGAAGAACCAGGAAATAGGAGGAAAAGCTCTCAGAATCAGAAGCTGCAAACCCGACAGACGGCACTTTAAATTCCGTGACCGTGTAATTGGGATAAAAGGAGATACGTTGAGAGCTGCAGACGTTTAATCAGAGCTTGTTTTTCTGTTGAGTTTCGACTCGCAGCATTGCAGCTCGGAAACCAACCCCCACCCTACCCTCCCCCCACCCGTCCCCTCGCGCCCCCCCCACCCACACACAACACCCACTCCCGAAACAAAACCCCTCAGATTCGAAGACTGCAGACAGAGAAACGTCACCGCTTGAAAGTGATTTATTTACATCACACGCGACGTTGGAAACGCGAACGTTCAGTGTCGCGTTTCGAGCGGAGACCCGAGCCGAGGGGAGCGAGCTGGGACCCTCTTCGCTGCTCCAAGAGGAGCAGAGGAGAGGCGATGTGGTTGAGGTTCTCGTGAAATAACAACGACTCGTGTTTGCACAGCCTCCCTTCACGCTGGGGGAGAGGGTGAGAGGGAGGTGACCGAAAGCGCGATCAAAAAAGGAAGGTCTTTAGGCAGGATTTGAAGGTGGGGGAGGGAGGGAGGGAGGGAGGGGGCGAGGCGGAAGGATCGAGGGAGAGAGTTCCAGAGTTTGGGGGCTGAAGGCACGGCCGCCGATGGTGAGAGGCCGACTGCAATAATTGGGAAATCGGGACAGATGAAGCTCGCGTGTGACAGCGTGCGACAACCGATTTAGTCCACACCGCGAGGCCAAAGGCCAGGTGTCTCGTCAGCGAATCTTTCCCTTACGTTCAGCCCCGTCAATCTCACCTGAGCCCAATGAACAGCAGCAGCAGCAGCAGAACGCAACAGGCCGTGCTGTACGAGAGACGCCTTACCTCGTACGATTAAGTCTCCTCCGGCTGAGGCTCTGTTCACAGTCGTGTGCACCATGCACACATATCGGCCCGCGTGCTTCAGCTGAATGTTTCTGATCATCAGGTCACCGCTCGAGCCCTGCAGAGAGGAAGAAAGTCAGAGAGAGAGAGAGCGTGAGAGAGAGAGCATGGCGTGGAGGAACAGGGATGTGAAACCGTGCGACATTTACTGATCTGTTCGATGTGATAGACGGGTTTCGAGTTGTGGAGGGCGATTTCAGGACCGACTGCAAAACGCGATATAAAAAACCTCCACTGCTAATTGCTTCGCACCTTGCAATTGACCTCCTCTCTGAGCTCTGTTTGCAGTCACCCTTTCTGAGGGCAGCTGAGAAGCCGCCACAAAGATTTGGCTCCTTTGCTCTCAAAGGCCTCATCGCCACGATCTGCTCCATTAATGCCGTGAGGTGAGATGTTAAGCCAAGCTTGCACCCTTCTGACATTTAGGTTACTCAAGCGCCTGAAATTGTCTAACACTGGACGCGTGCAAACCTGGCACTTTCCCCTAGAACACAGTCAGTCACTACGCTTTACAGGGAATCCTGCGAAGCGCTTTGAGACATCCTCCCGACGTGAGAGGTGCTGCATGAAAAAGATTCCTGGCTTTCTCTTCGTCCGCTCCGCTCTTGTTAAGGTTTTACAGATGCTGTAATAATAGCGCTTACATTTGGTAACATCGGGAGGATATACAGTGAAGAGCAGCGTATTCTGGGGGTGAGCACGGCAGACAATTTGCACAGAGAAATCTCCCACAAACAGCAGTGAAGCGAATGGCCGCATTCTCATTTGGGGGATCGTCCTTCAGGGCGCTGGGAGAGAGAGAGAAATGCCCTTTTCTTTTCGAATAGCACCGTAGGATTTTTATCGTTCACCTGAACAGGCGAAGACAGGTTTGACGTCTCGTCCGCAGGTTCTTTTATTAAGTTTATTATTAAATGGGTGGGTTTATATTCCAGGCCTAAAGTGTTTCCCTCTTAGCCAGGATCAGGATGGAAAGAGAACGCTGCTGGGGCGTAACGTGAGATATTCCCAAACAGGATTGGCCGTGATGCGCTGTGGCTGTGAAATTCCATTGCAAACTCCCACCGAGTACAGGTTGCAACGGACAGAATAAAGACGGACTGCAAAAAGTCACAGATCAGGACTCTCTGATATGGTCCTCGCTTTGCAACAAAAATAATAATAAATTGGTCACTTCAATCCAGGACTGTTTGCGGGGACACTGCTGTGCGCAATCAGCTGCCGCGTTTCGCCCACAAAATATACGGTCAATTCACTTTACAGTACATTCTCTGAAGCGCTTTGAGACGTCTCAAAAAAGTGATAAGGCGCTGTATCAAATGCAAGGCTTATTATTATTATAACAAGCCCCCCTCCCTTTCCTCTCCCACCCCCCCCCCCCACAACCCCCAAGCAAAACAAATGTGATGAGCAATGTTCCTGTCATGTCTGATCATCTTGTGGGAATAATAAGGAATTCTTCAAAGATCTCAGTTGGGGCCCAAAAGGAAATCTAATTTCCAAGCGTAGAATCAATAACTCTGCAGTCAGCTTGCGTCGCTCCCCAGATATGAACAATTTCACAAATAACATTGAAGGTGTGCAGGTGCTTTTAAATGATTACAGAGGTGTCAGTACTTCCTGATTCACGGAGCGTGTGATAAAAGCTGCAACTCCACTGGTGAGGAGAGTGTATTTTTTGTTAATTCTGCTACTTGAAATAGGGAAAATCTCCTGACTGGAATCCCTCTGACAATACGGCGTGTAAGGCTTGAAGCCAAACAACCTTGTTACAGCACTTCGATTAAAGATATGAAAATCTAAGGGAGAGAGCGAAAACGATAGAGAGAGACACACACACACACATACACACATACGCAAACATGCACACACAAGACATGAGCCATTGGAATATTACACACTCCCTTCTCTGGAAGTCTCGTCTATTTAACATTCGTCAAGCATTGCCTTCCGATTTATATAGGTCGTCGAGGCACGAAACCGAGTTGCTGTTCTATACTCCGCAGCGTTTAATCTAATGCGTTACAATCCTAAAGGAGACACCAGCGTTAAGACATCCATTTTAGATGTTAAATTGAGTTTGATTGTTCCCCTCCTTGCTTGTGACCTACAAAAACTATGTTCGCCTCATAACTTGCTTCTCCTCCTCACCTCATCACTGTACATAGCACGCAGCTAGAGATCGGTACGGTGGCATTCAGCAGCAGTGTGAGAGGGCGCGAATTGTGCTACTGTAATAATCTCGCCATTTGATCACATCTCAAAGCGCTTCGCAGGCTTTTTGCTAGAGAGTGTGGTGACTGTGTGTTTGCGGGCAAGTGCGGCAGCTAATTTGCGCACAGCAATGTCCCGTAAACAGCCTTGACGTGAACGACCAATTTGTATTTGTGGGGTTTGTTGGCCATCGCACCGGGAGAGAGAAACTCCCTTCTCTTGTCGAATAGCGCCGCGGGACCTTTAACATCCGCCTGAACCGGCACAGACGGGACCTCGGTTTAACGTCTCATCCGAATCGTCTCGCGCAGAGCGCAGTGCGAGCCTTTGCTTGACTCTGCGTTCACGTCGCCACTCGCTCCGGGATTTACCGACTGCAAACAAAAGACTGGGAGAGACTAATGGGAGATCACAGTGGATCAGCGGGGGACGATCTGTCCACCTCGCAATCAGCGCACGCACGCACACGGTTCTTCTCCAGGGCCAGCCAAGTGTTAAACCTTCCATTTGATTTGAAACATTTCCATCTGAGCCCCAAGTGCAAGTGTTTCGTCGACGCTGTGGCTTAGTTCTTGGAATAGACCAATTCCCGGGCAGAGTTGAATATGTGAGGAGGAGGGGGGAATGAGTGAATGGGGGGCTGGTGCTGGGCGGTGGTTGGGATGGGGTGGGGGGCGCGAAGTTAATCCGCAGTCGGCTCAGCCGATGGGGCCGGGGACAGCAGAGAAATCAAAGTGTGTCAGTAGTTGGCGGAGTTGAAAGTCAAGCAAGGGAGAGAGGGTGAAAGTGATTGCAAGGGCAGTCGAAGAGGTACGATCTAAACTCATTTGATTTCTGCTAAAAAGTAGTAAAATCGTTTTCCCATATAGGTAGATAACTAAGCCTAAAATTAAACTGAGGCGCTAACACACACATACACACACACGCACACACACTCAACCCTCGGCTGGAAACCAAATTAATCTGGGATAACAGATCCATGAACATGCCTGACGAGAATGTAATTCAGTCAAGCGGTTCTGATGATACAAGCCACGCGAGAGAGAGAGAGAGAGAGAGAGAGAGAAAGTAGTCTGTGTGGTTTACGAATCTCTGCAGAGCTCGGTTATTGCCAGCTATCTGTTATTTTTCCACGTACACAAATATACGTGTGTGTCTGTGTAGTCTATTTAAATTTACGGGCGGTGGGGGGGTGGGGGGGGGGTTGAGAAGGGAAAGAATGTCAAGTTATCATTCTGCAGCAGACTCAGCGAGCTTGCTGGAGGCAGAGTTATGTGGATGATAGGATAATGGGTTTGTTAGCTGTGCAGAGGGCTGAAAATTAATGGAGATACAGTAATGATGGCTTTTCCTCGCAGAGTACACGGTGGGGGGGAACTGACTGGCACATTACAGGGTATAATGATAGGATATAAATGCTCAGACGTTTTATTTCACACAAAGGGGGCTGTATAAATGCGAGTTATTATCATTAAACCATTGAAAGGGCATGCTATCATTTTGTGATGATAATAATAATAATAATAAATTGCACTCCCCTCGCTCAGCGAACACTGGCCTAAGAATGGCTTAGAGTGGGCTTTAAGCTATTCTATCTCCTCTCTCTGGAACTGCATCCATGAATCTCTCCAGTTCTCTCTCTCTCTTCCTCCACTTATACACCCCTTCCCAACCCTTTCAGCTCCCACCCCGAGTTCAGATGCCCAACCGACGAGTGTTAAGCACTTTCGAGACGTTCTCCCGGTGTGAAAAGCGCTATTTGAGTGTGAATGCTATTGAATCCCTTCTTAAAAAATAATTTGGTCACTCATTCCACGACTGTCTGTGGGACAGTACTGTGAAGCTCTTTGAGACGTCCCAACAACGTGATAAGTCGCTGTATCGAATGAAGGGACTGTTATAATAATAATTTGGGAGTTTGGTCAAAATGGTCTCACAATGACCAAGGTTGAGGCCAGGTGGGATTCCCCGACCAGTTTTGTTCTGTTCAAAGCTCCTAGAACGCCAGTGGATTTGGAGGACTGAGAGGACAAGTTGCCAGTAGGCCCCAAAGGTACTCTCGCAGACTGGAGGGGGGTGTGTGTCTGATTGTAAGTGCTCCGGGATGCTACCCTTCGTTGTTGCTGTCGTTGTTGTTGCAGCTTATCTGGTATCGCCCGGGATAACTGGCTCCAACTCAGTGAAGAAACAGGAGATTGATGTAAAGAGGAATTCTTTTTTATATACTGTCTTGATCTGATACAAAACTACTTAAGATCACACAGATAAATCACTCGAAACATCTCGTCGACTCCTGAGGTAAAACAGTACGAAGAGGTGAACTGTATAAACTAAACGCTTCCCAATCGCATCAGTAGAGCAAGTGGTAACTTGCGTTTTTACAGCGCCCTTCACATCACATAGCGTAGTGTAGCATCTCGGAGCACTTCACAGGGATGTGGTTGGACACTGAGCAAAGGAGAAGGGGCGAGAGGTGAGGTGGGGGGGTGGGGGGGTGGGGTGGGGTGGGGTAGTGTGGGTGGGTGGGGAGAGAAGGCTGTAAGTGTGTTCAAAGGGGTAAGATTTCAGGCGAGACGTAAAGGCAGAAAGAGAGGAGTGAGACGGAGTCTTAGCGGTAGAGAGTTCCAGAGGAGATGGGCCTTAAGGTACTGAAAGGGACATAGGAGATTATTAGTCCTCATCTGACGTGGTGCGGTTTTCCTCAGATTTTAATGATAAAGTGATCTTTCTTTCCACGGTTCTCTCTTCAGGAATGTTTTGTGCCGGATGCTTCAGTGTAAAAGCAAAGCCGGTCTGGTTCAACGCAAGCCGATGGCATGAGGAAGTGTCACAGTGACACCTCGT